CAAGAAGAGCAAGAAGAGCAAGAAGAGCAAGAAGAGCAAGAAGAGCAAGAAGAGCAAGAAGAGCAAGAAGAGCAAGAAGAGCAAGATGAATCTCAGGAACTGGAAGAAACACAAAAAAAAGAGAGAAAATAGAAAACTGAAGTGCCAGAGCAGACTACTCCAAAATTTTTTAAAATTTCGTATCAAAATAGGTCCAAATTTCAGCATCAGCATCAGCCGCAACATTTTTATTGCGATATAAAAGTTGGCATAGTTATATTGATCAATGCATGACTATTGACCCGATGATTTATCAATGAATTATAAGCGAAACTCTTTAATATTAAATAATTCTATTCTATATTTTAGTTATTGCAGAGTCGCTATTTATACTATTAATTAAATAAATACTATTCATATCTTATAGTGCAACTATTTAACCTAAATCACAATCAACGATTTAACTTCTATCACTGTTGCCCGATTTTGTTTAAACAAACAAATTATTTGTTTTTATTACTTCGATTACTGATACATCGTTGATTAAAAGAATATACTCTAAAAATAAATATCTTAAATTTTTGGGTGCGAATAGAATTGGTATATAGCAATATTAAATTAATGCGCAAGATAGAAAATTAGTTTAAATCTTTATTATTACCATTTTTTTGAAGTCATATATGGTTAAAAAATTTAATAATCCATTTGAGCTTTTAAAAAGTAATCTCAATATAAATTACTTACCTTGGCTAAGTATTGATAAGTATGCGTGTTATTCTAGTTACTTCGTACTTGAGAAAAAAAGTAAATGTCATTTCAAATATAATTTATTTGTTTCTTGCATGTGAAGTTATACAATACACTAATATGATTGGCAGACTAAGATAGTTAACCAATCAATTTGCGAATTTTTTTACTTCACATGCATAAAAAAAGGTTTTATAATGCGATATTCAATAACAATAAATTATTGTTTTCGAAATTTTTAGGGTCTCTGGTTTGGAGCATAAAACTATTAGGTGTTATGAAGCACGAAAAAAATTTTCAGATAAAAATTTGATTAAAGAAATTATCGCGATTTTCGAAATGGTTGAAATGGCAGATAAAAATTATTTTGGTAAATACTGCGAATACTCGATTACCTTAACATATTGATTAAAGGTCGATGCCCGATTTTACACGCAAAATTGGGCATCGATATTCGCAGTATGCACCACAATAATTTTTATCTGCCTTTTCAACCATTTGAAAACCGCGATAAAATTAGTAAATAAAATTGCACATTTTGTTCGTGGAACTTACTCAATACTGTAATTTGATTGGGTATAAGGCGTTTCACGTGACAACCCATTATTTGTTAAATAAAATTTATTGAACCTGTATTCTATTTAAATTTTTGGAACACTTGGAATGGTTCAAATGAGATTCATTCCAATTGGTCTATAAATCCATTATTTTAAGGGCACAACACTGGCCCTGCAATAAACCTTCCCATGTACCTTAAAAATGAATGTTTCAAAATCCTTATATCAATTGTTAAAATTTTTTAGGTGATTTAATTCCTAAAAAATATAAGTAAACTAGCAGGACAGAAATAGGTCTGTGTCATTTCACCGAAAATCAAATAACCGATAAGTTTATTTTACTAACATTATTTCACTGACAGCTCATTTCACCGACTGGTTTTTTTTTAAAAATTGCACTAATCTTAACTCTAATTCTAAATCTGACTCTAACGACAATGGCCAGAATTACTTTGTCGGTGAAATGACTGCCGGTTAAATAAACTGTCAATTAAATAGACTTGTCGGTTAATTGATATTCGGTGAAATGACATAGACCTATTTCTGTTCAGTTAGTAGAATGGATTGTTACTTCGGTGAAATGGTATTTCAGAAAAATGGACTTCGGGAAAGTGAGCAACAACCAACTGTCCCATGTACAACACTGCCCGCAGGGGCCCAAACATCAACCGGTCAAATTTTAATACGACAGTCATTGATGCGTAGCTGGTATTATCCGTCAGATTACATCGGGCATAACGTGGAGAGTATAAAAAAAGGGTTACTATTAGAAATTTATCAAACGAGCAACTATTTCAATGCATCGATCTGTCCAGTGAATTTTAAAACATGAAAGACGACTTTAAGTACTTTGATCCCTAGTGAATTTAAAATATACGAAACTACTCAAACGCTTCGATTTATTATATGAAAAAAACGTCTTACAGCATTCTAGATATACCCCTAAAAAAAACATACGTACATACGAACATCCCAATAGCAGATAGAATGAAATAAGCTACGTATGTACCAATTTTTGCCGAATAACCAAAATAAACTATCAATTTCTGCCGAATAACCAAAATAAACTATTTATTTTTGCCAAATAACCCGAGTTATTTAGCAGCCCGATCATAGTAATCTGACGGATAATATTAATTACAATTTTTTTTAAAAAAGATATTATACTTTTCTTTTTTTTTGACACCTCAAATATTCTTCTTATCATCAAACCAAAATATCCTATTACTAATAATTACTTTTATTAAATAAACGAGTTAATCAGCAAAATTATTAAAATCTTTATTATAACAAAATTTAATCCATTATCACCCTTCTTCCCGATACCCTTCCATGCTGCAACTCAAATCTTAGCATTCCTTCTAAGTTTTCTACCCTCGCTTTTAAGTGATCCCTCTCAACAACTAAATTCGTATAATCTTCAATATCAAACTCTCTATCTTCTACTTGATTTTCTTCACCTTCTAGCTCACTTACTCTTGCTCGCAACCTGTTTACTTCTCGTAACAATCTATAAAATTTTATAATTATTATTTATCTTATTTTACTATTATTATTATTTTTTAGTTATTATTACCTTCTATTCTCGCCTTGCAATCGAACAAAGCTTCTTTGACCACTTCTTCTTTGAGAGCGTAAAGTTCGATAACTTCAAGGCATTTTCTTTTTCTTCTTTTTACTATTATTATTATTATTATTATTATTGTTATTATTATTATTATTATTATTATTATTATTATTATTATTATTATTATTATTATTATTATTATTATTATTATTATT